CCTGGGGCACGCTTTCTGGCCCTGCGAGCCCAGCTGACTGAATTCTCTAGGGCTTTGGCCAGGCGGTGCCAGCGGCTGGCAGATGCTGAGAGGCTGTTTCAGCTCTTCAGAGAGGTGGGTGAGAGTCTCCCCGGCTCCAAGTGATACCTGTAGCTGGAGGGGTGGTAGCCCCAGCCTTAGCACAGCCTGAGCTCTTTCTGGTTATGCTGCCTGAGTGTCTGAGTATAGTGAGCAGTCTCTTCCTTTGCCTTCAGTCTGACCCTAAAATCCAACTGCTGGGGCTGGGTCCTGGTCAGCATCCTGTGGGGATTGGGAGTGGGTAGAGGAGCAGAGTGCCCAGCGGGCTTGGCGGGATCCCCCTCTAATGCTTGTCTGGCCCTGGTGTTGCAGGCCTTGACGTGGGCTGAGGAGGGGCAGCAGGTGTTGGCAGAGCTGGAGCAGGAGCGCCCAAGGGTTGTGTTGCAGCGGCTGCAGCTGCATTGGACCAGGCACCCTGACTTGCCTCCTGCCCATTTCCGAAAGATGTGGGCTCTGGCCACAGGGCTAGGCTCAGAGGCCATCCGCCAGGAGTGCCGCTGGGCCTGGGCACGGTGCCAGGACACCTGGCTGGCCCTGGACCAAAAGCTCGAGGTTGCACTGAAGCTACCACTGGTGGGCAGCACTGCTAGCCTGTGTGTCAGCCAGGTCCCCAGTGCACCTGCCCACCCTCCCCTGAGGAAGGCCTACAGCTTTGATCGAAATCTGGGGCAGAGTCTCAGTGAACCTGCCCGCCACCGCCACCACGCGGCCACTATTGGTGCCTGCCACAGACCAGAGGCTGGAGGAAGTGCCCAGTCCCAGGCATCCCCTACTGTGCCTCCACCAGGCAGCTCTGACCCCAGGAGCCCCAACAGGTGCGGGTAGTGGGCAGGGCAGGAGGGCAGTGGAGGGGAGATGTCTTGAGTCCTGACTCCCCATACCCGATAGGCTGCAGTTGGTGCTGGCAGAGTTGGTGGCCACAGAGCGAGAGTATGTCCGGGCCCTAGAGTACACAGTGGTGCACTATTTCCCCGAGCTGGATCGCCCCGATGTGCCCCAGGGCCTCCGTGGCCAGCGTACCCACCTCTTTGGCAACCTGGAGAAGCTGCGGGACTTCCACTGCCACTTCTTCCTGCGTGAGCTGGAGGCTTGCACCCGGCACCCGCCTCGAGTGGCCTATGCCTTCCTGCGCCATGTAAGCCCAACAGGCCACATGGTCCCAGCTTGTTTTGCCATACTCCCTAAGTTTTTTCTGGGCACATGCTTGGTGCCAGTCCCTGTGCTGGGTACAGCTATGAGCAAGACTGGCAAGATCTTGCACCTGAGGGTGCCCTTGGTTCAGTAGAGGAGACATGGAAGTGAAAAAGGCATTTGTAGATTATGGTTGGGGCTAAGAGGAAAATAAGCAGGATAGGTGCTTACTGTTGGGGCAGGGGCTCCACTTTAGAGGGCCTGAGTAATGCCAGGACACCCGGCACTAGAGGAAGCCTTTGAGGGGCTGATGTTTAAGCTGAGGAATCGGGGAGGGGCTGGAGTAAGTGTCCTACCCAGAGGAAAGAGCACAAGTGCAAGGTTGTTTGGAGGAAGGGGACTTGCCAATAAAATGTCTGAGTGTAGTAAGCGGGATGGTCCCAGGTGAGGTGAGCTCTTAGAGCCGTGGGAGGAGCAGAGCTGAAGGCAGGGGCTCAGTCTGAGGGAGAGGGGCTTCTTCCTCGGGGGCCTGTGGGCACACCCCCTCTGCACAGTACTGTTCTTGCCAGATCACCCCTTTGTTCAAAGCAGGGCAGATCGGGTTTGTAGGGAGAGGCCTCCCCAGGAGCCATCTACTGGCATCTTCGTCCTCTCAAGCTGAGGGTGGTCTAGCCTGTTCCAGCCTTAGGGAGCTGGCCCCTTTGCACTGGGGCTGAGCCACATGTCCTTGTAGAGGGTGCAGTTTGGGATGTATGCGCTCTACAGCAAGAATAAGCCTCGCTCGGATGCCCTGATGTCCAGCTATGGGCACACCTTCTTCAAGGTAGGTGAGCCTGAGACTACGAGGAGGAAGGGATGTGGGGAATGCTCCCAAACCACTCAGTGGCCTCCCACCTGGCCACAGGACAAGCAACAAGCACTGGGGGACCACCTGGACCTGGCCTCCTACTTGCTAAAGCCCATCCAGCGCATGGGCAAGTATGCGCTACTGCTGCAGGAACTGGCACGGGCCTGCAGGGGTCCCACGAGGGAGCTCAGCGCACTGCAGGAGGCCCAGAGTCTCGTGCATTTCCAGCTGCGGCACGGCAATGACCTGCTGGCCATGGACGCCATCCAGGGCTGTGATGTGAGTCATCCCACGCCTTGGTGGGCAAGGTGGAGGGTGTGGAAAAAGGGCAAAAGAGGCCCGGCACCCACTGGCCCCCAACTCTGCAGGTTAACCTCAAGGAACAGGGTCAGTTGGTGCGACAGGATGAGTTCGTGGTACGCACTGGGCGCCACAAGTCCGTTCGCCGCATCTTCCTCTTCGAGGAGCTGCTGCTCTTTAGCAAGCCTCGCCACGGGCCCACAGGCATAGACACATTTGCCTATAAGCGCTCCTTCAAGGTAGGTCTGCCCACCCTGGGCCCCAGCACTTGTTTTCCCACCCCATGCCTTACCAAGCCCCTCTCTCCCCGCTGGCCACAGATGGCAGACCTTGGTCTCACTGAGTGCTGTGGGGACAGCAACCTGCGCTTCGAGATCTGGTTCCGCCGCCGGAAGGCCAGAGACACCTTTGTCCTACAGGCCTCCAGCTTGGCCATCAAACAAGCCTGGACGGCTGACATCTCCTGCCTGCTCTGGAGGCAGGCCGTCCACAACAAGGGTGGGTTCCTGCCCTTCCTTCACCACACACTGCCCTTGCTGGAGAGCTTACATTGACCCACAGGAGCCCAGGGACCTGGAAAAGCTTGGAAAGCGGGGAGGAGGCCCAGCGGCTGCCACCAGTGCAGGAGAAAGGAATTCAAAGCCAGGCAGCTTTGCTGTTACTGCCTCCGACTTTGGACACAACATGAACTTCTCTGAATATCAGGGCTTCATGGCTCGCTCTCTCTTTCTTTTTTTATTTTTGAAGATGGTCTTGCTGTGTCACCCAGGCTGGAGTGCAGTGGCATGATCTCTGCTCATTGCAGCCTTTGCCTCCTGAGCACAAGCAATCCTCCCACCTAAGCCCCCCGAGTAGCTGAGACTGCAAGCATGCATCACTATGCCTAGCTAATTTAAAAAATTTTTTCATAGAGGTGAGGTCTCACTTTATTGCCCAGACTGGTCTCAAACTCCTGGGCTCAAACAGTCCTCCCATCTTGACCTCCCAAAGTGCTGTGATTATAGGTGTGAGCCACTGCACCCGGCCAGGGGCCCCATCTCTAAAAGAGGAATATGGCACCTGTCCCACAGGATTGTTGGGAGGAGCACTTGGCATTAGAAAGGCTCAGCTCACAGGACAGTTAATGTGTTGGATGTGGGTGTACAGGAAAGACCTATTTGGGAGGTGGGTAGATAGAGGCCTAAGGACAGGCTTATGTCCAGAAGTGTCCCACTTATGCCCACTCTCCACCCAGAGGTGCGCATGGCTGAGATGGTGTCCATGGGTGTGGGGAACAAGGCCTTCCGAGACATTGCCCCCAGTGAGGAAGCTATCAATGACCGCACCATCAACTATGTCCTGAAGTGCCGAGGTAGCAGCCAGACTACAGGGGGTGGGCATGGGGGTGGGGATTGGAAAGCTGTGGCCCTCCAACAGTGCTGGCCCCTGCTTTCCTCGGGATCTGGGGCCAGGCTAGGCTCTGGCCTGTCCCAGCCTGACCCTCTCTCTTACTCAGAAGTTCGCTCTCGGGCCTCCATTGCTGTGGCCCCATTTGACTCTGACAGCCTCTACCTGGGGGCCTCAAACTCCCTTCCTGGAGACCCTGCCTCTTGCTCTGTTCTGGGGTCCCTCAACCTGCACCTGTACAGAGACCCGGCTCTTCTGGGTCTCCGATGTCCTCTGTATCCCCCCAACTTCCCGGAGGAAGCACCACTGGAGGCCGAGGTAGAGCTGGGCAGCCTGCCCTCTCTGAGTATGTCTGGGCTTAGCCAGAGGCAGGAGGGCATGGTTTGGGATTTGTGGCCTCGTGCTGACAGCTCACCTAGTCTCCCTTCCCTAGCTCCTGAGGACTCAGAGGTCTCATCCCAATGCCCATCAGCCAGTGGCTCCAGTGGCTCTGACAGCAGCTGTGTGTCAGGGCAGGCCCTGGGTAGGGGCATCGAGGACTTATCCTATGTAAGTGCCATTTGCCCTATACCCACGAGCCCTCCCCCAGCCCAGGCAGGGCCTGTGACTGTGACCAGCCGCTCCCCAGCCCAGCCTAGGCCTTTACTTTGGGTAGAGCTGGGGGTGGGTGGGCCTGAGCCATTCCCCAGACAGCCCCTGGGCTCAGAGGTAGGGAAGCAGGCATTCATGCCTGACCTGGTCTTGCAGGTCTGAGCCCAGGACTGGACAAGCTGTGGATTCAGCAGCCTGCAGCTCCAAGGAACAATACCTCTCTGGATCTGCTGTGACCAGGGTGTGGCTGACACCTGGGCCACCTCCAGCCTGTGTGCAGCCCTGTTGACTACCCTTTCTGATGTCTGTGGCCATTGGACAAACTGGCATGGGGCCTCTCTAGGGGAGTTTGGCTGTAGAGCTGGTGGGGGACCATGTGCCTCTGGGCAGTGACTAGGCTACCCCCATCCTTCAGGAGGAACACAGGTGGGCTCCTAGCAGCTGCTGCCCAATCCCTGGCCTTCAAGCTGAGCTCACCTCCCATAGGGGAAGATCCACCTCTACTGTGCCCTGATGCTTACCCATCCTGGCCCCCAGGCCCAGCCCCTTTTTTCCTTCTTATTTTGACTTGATGCCTTTTTTAATAACTTTCAATAGAGTTGTCTAAAATTATCTCACTGGTTGTTAGGCCTTTGGCGTCTCAGAGAAGGAGTCTAGTTCTTTGACATGTGATTTACTCTTTTATTTCTTTATAATAAAAAGTAGACTAATATGTACCCTTTGGTGGGCACATGCATTCTGGGGCAATGTCCAGTTAAAATGAGCCTTGGCGGGTGGGGCATGAGGGCCTGCATCTCTGGGCACCCTAGTCCTCTTGTAGGTACTTTCCCAGGATGGAATACGACACAGACCTAGACAGGCCCCTCTGGATGAGCAGGTCCATGCAGCGGCCGTATTTCCTGGCGAAGGGCAGTGTAAGCTGGAAAGAAAGGCCAGTCTTACCTCTGATTTCCTGGCCAGTTGCCTACTCTAGCTCCATGTGGGTAGGTTCTCCCATGGGGCAGTGACAGGGCAAGCCTGGCTGTTGGGGACTTTTGTTGCTTTAGGGCTCAGCTTTGCCCAAGGGCATGTCACAGGGTAGAGGTAGAACTGGTTATCAGGGAACTAAGCAGAATGACTGGAGGGTTGAAAACATGTTTCCTGGTACTGGTTTTCCACATTCTAGCCCTACGTGCTGACCTCACCTTTACAAACCACATACAAGCCGGATGCCTAATGGTAACTGGATACTAGCATGCTTATGGTGAAAGGTGTTATAATAATACCCTTGATTATGGAAGTGTCAGATCAGTGAGAATCTGCCTAAATTGTTTCCACCTCAATGTTAAAATTAGATTAAGGAATCAGAAAAGGGAAAAAAAAACCTTGATCATTACTTTCCCTTACTAAACATTTTCTTGTAAAGAATGCTTAAAAGTAGTTTAAATATGGAAGTAATGTACACAAATGGTGACATCATGGCCAAATAGGTGAAGTTGGTATCACTGGTTGAAAACGTCTCACTCCCATATGAGTTAAGGCTTGTGCTCATATGATATGCGTCCCTAAGTGTGGCCAGGGTTGTTAGTGATGAAGGCACAGCTGGTATCATTGGAGGAAAACTATAAAAACCAGTGGCCTGAATACTGGTTTTTGACTACTCTGGATTGGTTAATTTCATCCAGTTTCTCCCTCCCTTGGAGTAGTGGCCTAAGCTGCCTGTCTAGCCTTCTGAGAAGTGCTGACCCAGCCCTGGTGCAGCAAGACACGCACATCTGAGGCATCCACAGGGTCGGTGGATTCCATGGGGATTGCAAGTGGCCCTCACCTCCACCCAGCTGTACAGACGCTCCTGGGTGTGCCGGTCGTCCTTGAAGCCAGTGATGGCCAGCAAATCCACCACAAACTGCTTGGGGCTGATGTGCAGGGTCTGCCAGGAGAGCCCACAGTCAGGCAGGGCTGGGGCAGCTCCTAGCCTCTCAGAGTGAGATGCAGAGCAGGGACTTCCTTGGGCCCACAGAGCCACAGGGGTGAGGGGCAAGCACTGTCACTGCAAATCTGCCTTTTGGCCAAGGCTTGGTCCAGGTGCAATTGCTCTGCTTGCCCATCCCTGCCTGTCCCACTACTCGTCTGCCCCTGGCCTCTTCTCCTTACTCCCATCTTGGCTTACTTCCTCTTGCCTTGCACCACTTATTATGCAGTAGGGGAAGAGGTGGAGAAGGTAACAGGGTGCCCCAGGGGCTGGGGCCTATCACACATACCCACAGCCGGTTGGCCAGGGAGACCACCTTGGCTGTGATGGCTTTGGGGTCCTTTTGCCTGATGGAATCCAGGATGATGTCAGCCAGGAAACAGTGACATTTCTGCGCATAAAACATCTCTTCCCAGGACAGAGAGAAACTCAGGAAAGTCACTTCTGTGGAGGAAGGAAAGTGGTTGTGGCTACATCTGTCAACAGCTAGGGCCTTAGAGACAGAGTGAGGAGGGGAGAAGGGTAGGGCTCCCAGGGGACACTGTCTCTGCCTAAAGTACCCTGGGAGGGGCTCAGCCATCCTCACGAGGAGGCTCAGGGCTGGGCCCGGCTCCAGAGCCTCACCTTGGGGCTGGGGGCTGGCTGTGGGTGGTGTGTGCCTGAGGTTGTCCACCTGCGTGGTGTAGATGATGCTGTCCTCGAAGAACATGCAGAAGCCATCGCTGCCCACCACTGGGGGGTGAGTCACTTTGAGGATGACCCCTGGGCTGTCTATCTCACTAGCATCAGTCAGAGGATGCTCAGGGGCAGGGCTTTCTGTGAAAACAATGTAGGGAGGGGGCTCTCCTTTTTTTTTTAAATTTTTTTTTTTTTTTAAACAGAGTTTTGCTCTTGTTGCCCAGGCTGGAGTGCAGTGGTGTGATCTTGGCTCACTGCAACCTCTGCCTTCCAGGTTTAAGTGATTCACCTGCCTCAGGTTCCCAAGTAGCTGGGATTACAGGTGCTTGCCACCTCACTCTGCTAACTTTTTGTGTTTTTAGTAGAGATGGGGTCTCTCCATGTTGGTCAGGCTGGTCACGAACTCCTGACCTCAGGTGATCTGCCCACCTTGGCCTCAAGTGCTCGGATTACAGGTGTGAGTCACCACATCCAGGCTTTTTAAATTCTTTTCTTCAATTACCATGAAATCTACATAAGCAGGGGCTCTCCTTAAGCCACCTCAGAGCCCAAGCAGGGAGGGGACCTCTGGTGACAGGCCAGTACAGTTAGTCACCCCAGCCTTGCAACAACTGCCATCTCCAGTTTCTCAGAAGTGACACCCTGGGCTGGCAGGGGCCTATCCTGGCCTCTCCTCTCTTCATTGCCCTGGCATCGCTGCAAGCCAAATCCTGAAAATTTTGGGACTCCAAAAAACTCCAAATTCCTCTGTTGAATGAAGTCTGATATCAAATGGGGCTGACAGTAACCTAGCTGAGGGCTGAAAATGTTTATAAAAGTGTAAGTTGAGAGCTTTTGGGACCAGCCTTTGATGCATGTCCAAAGAGTGGACATTTTTCACCCCAAGATTGACAGACCAACTGAGAGCTCACAGGCAGTCCAAGAAGGCCCCTCCAAGCAGGATTGGAGCCACTAATAGGGAAGGTGACAGAATACCACAGGCAGGGCTTTGAGGGAGCAGAGGCAACAGCCTGGCACAGCGGTTCTCAGCATACTTTCCTGGCTACCTCCCCTTTGGTGGCCACACATGCTGTCTCCCCAGCTCAGTCCCTGTAGCCTCTGCTGTCTCCTGGGCTTCACCTGGATGTCCCTTGGCATTTCACACTCAGTATGTGCCCTTCCCCAAGCTCTGCTCTTTCTCTTACCCGCACCTAAGTAAGGACCCACCATCCCCTTGCAGTCACATAAGCTAGAAACCTGGCTCCTCCTTGGCCCATCCCTCCTTCCCTCCCCCAGCTGCCTAGCCTGCTTCCCCAGCCTAGAAAGAACTCCAGGTGGCTTCCAACACCTAGCTCCTCCTACATTTCTTTCTTTTATTTTTTATTTATTTTTATTTTTTAAGATGGAGTCTCACACTGTCACCCAAGCTGTAGTGCAGTGGCATGATCTCAGCTCACTGCAATCTCTACCTCTTGGGTTCAAGCAATTCCCCTGCCTCAGCCACCTGAGTAGCTGGGACTACGGGTGTTTGTCACAATGCCCAGCTGATTTTTTTTTTGCATTTTTAGTAGAGACAGGGTTTCACCATGTTGGCAAGGATGATCTTGATCTCTTGACCTTGTAATCTGCCCACCTTGGCCTCCCAAAGTGCTGAGATTACAGGCTTAAGCCACCATGCCTGGCCTCCTGCTGCATTTCCTCTGCTCCTGGAGCAAACTTTCTGATCAGCACACTTGACCCTGTGGTCTTGTTTAAAATCTTTCAGAGGCTGCTCACTCCCATCCTGGGCAGAACGAAGTACCATGTCCTGAATCTGCCTACAAGGCCAGCCCTGAAGACTTCTGTCTTCAGCCCCATCTTTTATCATGTCTGCACATGAAGCTCTGTCCTCAAGCTAGACCCATGCGGTGTGCTTCCAAACACCCTGGACTTCTCTTTCCTTCCCCTGCTGACTCCCAAGCCCTCAGCCTTTTTTGTGCTCCTACTTCATAGGTGCCCCCTTCCCACAGCACTCATCCCTTCACCATATGTATTCTCCTGGCCCCTCCAACCATGTCAGTGTGCCAATCATTTCTGTGCTGCCTGGCACAGAGATAGCGTTGGTGAGCAGGGGGCTCTAGTCCTCCTTTGTCACTAACTTGCTCTGCCATCTTAGCCAAGGAGTTTGCCTTCTCTTGTGAATAAGACTTAGGTCAAGGTGGGACAGGACTCACCTCTCTCCTTGGGCCTCTGCTTGCTCCAGTCCTTCAGGGTACCAGCTCTTTTTGGGGGGAAGTATGGCTTAAAGATTGGCTCTGGCCTCTTGTCTTTTGTTCCAGCTCCAGCCCCTGCCTGTGGTCCTGGATCCCTCTCTGAGGCTGTGGAATGGGCTTTCCAGGCAGCTGAGGTGCTGGGCTGGGAGGTAGCCTTGCTTCCCAAGGGGAGCTGCAGGGTGGCTTCCTCCAAGGGGCTGCTCCGGGAGGCTGTCAGTGGCTGGAATTCCCACTGTTTGCAATTGACCATGTCCCATTCTCTCACCAGGGAGATGAGTTTTTGCATGGGAGTAGCGGGAGGGTCTTTGGTTTCAGATTTCTGTGTGAGGTTGATTATGGTGCATTTCTTCTTGGTGGGGCTCTCAGGGTGTCTCCCCCAGTGTCCGGGATTGGTATACAAGCCAGGACAGTGTGAGTATGTGCTGGGGTTGCCTGCCCTCTTGGCATTTCGGCATAGGGACACCTGGATGGGCCGGGTGTACTGCTCAGCCTCCTCCATCTGGTTGGACCTGGCCAGGTTTCCCTTAGCCTTGTTCCATGGAGTCCTATCACTGCAGTCTTGGAAGTCCACAGGCATGTAGGCTGTGGTCTGGGGAGGGAGGGGCACAGTAACTCTCGATATGTTGGGCATGGATATCAATGCCTTGCCCAAGATCGAATAAGCTGGGCCTCTAAGACTTCACTTGCTCTCTCCAAATAATCTCATCCCCAACAGGGGTCACCCATTTGAACTTTGCTCAGGCTGAGTGGGGGTGGTGCCAGCTCAGTGGCCTGTCACTGCAACAGGAGATACAATTAGCATCCCAGGCCACAAGTGGCCAGTAAATTCCTGTGCATCAATGTTCAGAAGCCACGTCCTGTCCTAAGAACCCATGTAGGCCCTGCTCTTGTTTTGCTGTGCCCCTCAGTAGCTGGGCCTGCCCTGCTCCACCCTGAGCCCGGTGGTAGTGGTTTTTGAGGAAAACACCAACCAGAGGAAGCTGGGGCTTACTTCTTTAGTGTCTCTACTGAATTCCACCAGTGACCCTGGCCCTTCTGTCACCACGTGCAGCCTCCTGATGGGAAAAGCTTCTTCATTTTCAGATTCTTTCTCCTGAGTCCATGACCTGCAGAAACCCAGAGGGTTTGGTTAGTGAGCAGAGACCCATCAGGCCATCGGCCAGTTGGTCAGGTCTGCCCTTTGGCTGGAAGTTAATGCTAGACAGCAGGGAAGAAGGGGATCTTAAAGGGTTTTGCTTAGGTCGCTGGCCAATCATGGGCCTGCTTCACTCCCTCAACCTCAGGGAGAACAGAATCCTTTAGAAAGTGGGCTTAGGACAGGATTTCAAGAGGAATGTAAAGACCCAAACTCTAAACATGGAGTCGTGATAAAGTTTCCTTACTTGTATGCTTCACATTGTGCAAGGGCTTCTGAGAGGGATGGAATGTGGTATTCCTCCACCTCCTGGCAGAAAAGGGGCCATTCCCTGCAAATGACAAGGAGATGTCCGGCTGGGCAGCTAGGGTGGGAGTGTGGGAGCGGGCATGAGCTCCTGGAGCTGCCACCGCCAACAGCTCCCACGATGGAAATAATATAACCTCCTCCCTGAAGGCTGCAACTCAGGTCTCCTTTGTTGCTAAGGGAGAGCCTTCGTGATTTCATCCTACCATGTTCTTGCTTCACTTACTTAAATTCAGATGGTAAAAATAGTTTGCCAAGTCTCAGAAAGTTGAGAATGTGTCGGAACATCTGGCCGTCCCCGTGGATGAGCAGAGTTTGTCCATATGTGATCCAGTATACCCTCTGAGGGTTGGACAGCAGTTCTGGATACTGGAGGGGGTTGGACACCAGACTCAGTCTCAGAGGCTAGGTCTTCAGTAAGAGGCAGGTCAATATTCTCTCACTCCCTTTCCCAACTATACTAGAGCAGAGGCTTTGGGATTTCCATCTCCCTGTCTGTCAGTCACAGGGAACCATGGTGGGGAGCAGAGCATCCAGGGAGAAGCACATCATCCCTGCTTCAACTTTTTATGGCCTCTAGACCAGCCTCTCAAGGTACCTCCTTCTCAGTTCAGACCTCTCAGAGTTGGCCCCCTCCCTACCCAAACTCCGGAGGGCCTTCCCAAACTCCGGAGAGGCTTCCCAGTAGGCTGCTCGGTCCACTTGTGCTCTGTTTTGTTTTGGTTTTTTGAGACAGAGTCACACTCTGTCACCCAGGCCGGAGTGTAGTGGTGCGATCTCGGCTTACTGCAATCTCCATCTCCTGGGTTCAAGTGATTCTCCTGCCTCAGTCTCCCATGTGGCTGGGATTACAGTCACGTGCCACTACACCCAGCTAATTTTTATATTTTTAGTAGAGACGGGGTTTCACCCTGTTGATCAGGCTGGTCGCGAACTCCTGACCTCAAGTGATCCACCTGCCTCAGCCTCCCAAAGTGTTGGGATTACAGGCGTGAGCTACCACACCTGGCCCACTTCTGCTCTGTTGAGAGCACTTTGGGCAATGGAGTCAGGGGAAAGCCCTTGTTTTAAGCAGGTGCTGGAAGCTGTGTGAGGGCCAGGTGATGGCCCCCAGAGCAGCTCAGGTGGTGAAGCCAGAGGGGGATCAGGGTGGCCAAGGATAGCAGTACCTTCAGCAGTGTCTGCAGGGTGGTTGCATACCAGTGGCTTCCAACATATACTTTGATGATCTGTTTTGGGGAATACACAGTGATCTCTGCCGTTGACTCATCTATGGGAATCAAGGAAATAGAACACATCATCATGTGGCCAGAAGGGAAAGCAGGTAGGGCCCTTTGGTCAGTAGTATATTTCATGTTAAGTCTCAATATCTTCCTCAGTTATATTGTGTTGCCTACTCTGAGAAGCATCAGAAATCCCTGACATTGACCTTGCCTGCTGCTTACCATATCATTTCTTGGGTGGTGAGGCAGGCAAGGGCACTGCCCCTCTTTACCTGACCCTCTCTCAGGAAAACTGGGCTGATGACTCTGTCAAACTACAATGCCAACTGCCTCTGGTTTCTGGCTGGGTGTGTGGCTTTTCATGGGGCCACTCAGACTGAAGCTAGGAGTCTCCCTTTGTGTATTTGTGTTCATGGTTTGGCAAATGTCCTGGAGCCAACTCTCATCAAACCCCTGTCACTTTTATGAGACCAAGCCTCTAGGCATGTCTGGAGAATGGGGGCTGTATGCTGGGAGGATGAAAACCATGACCCTTTTCCTGGGGATGACTGTATGTAGGTCTTGTTCTGATGTTTGGGAAGCAGTTTCTAATGAGCTCTGTAATTAATGAAGGGTATATAACTAGATTATACAACCAAGAGATAAGACGTGTAGAACTAGACCGTGAACTCCAGGAAGACAGGGACTAAGTCTGTGTTGCTTACTTCTGTACCACCAATGTCTACTCCTGTCCTGGTATATGGCCAGTAATCAATAAATGTTGAATGTTGCTAAGTGATAGTAATACAGCTTAAACTTTGCCCCCCAAATTTTTGCTAGTAAGAAATTACAGGCAGCTGGTGAAAACAATGTTAGGTTTGGATTCAGAGTCAAACCCCAGCATGACCACTGTGTAACTTGAATGAGTTTTCTTCTCTGAAACTCTTCTTCAGATGTTAAATGGACCCAGGGACAGCTCTGTTTATCAGAGGAGGCTCCTCCCTGTGTGGTTGTGAGAGGTATAGCGTGTCAGCTCCCAGAGTCAAGGCAGGCCTGCCCTGGGGGTCCTGCATCGCCCCAGACTGGGTAACAGTTCTGTCTGCGGCTCAAGATGAATTGTGGCCTTGGAGGTGAGGAGGGAGCATTTAACATGAAATTTTCCCTTTCATACAAACCCAAAATATTGGCCTGGCTTTCCCCTCCTCTTCCATCTACAGTTCCTCCTCTTGGCCTCCTGATCTATTCCTTCCAACACCCCAGACACCCCCTCATGCTAAATCCAAACCCAGAAGCTTTCTCATTTACTGAGCACATCCATGGGTGCCAAAGTTCTCGGCTCCAGATGAGTTTTCAAAGCCACTTTCATTGGCTCATAGGTGATGTCCCTCTTGTCCAGGAAGGCACAAAGCTCGTACACCTCAGAAATGGTCTCAGTCAGGGGCAGCCGGCAAGTCCCCAGCCAATTCCTGCCCAGAGGAAAGACCTGTTATGAAGAACGTCAGCACTGCACCCAAAGAGTGTTAAGGCTGTAAACTTTCCATGCCTAGGGTACCTTGCCACAACACTGGCTCAACCCAGGCATCATTAACATCGTTTCCTTGTTTTAACCAGAAATCTGGTTAACCTTGTAGGAGAGTAAGCCTGGACAACAGGTCCCATTTTTGGAGCTGAGCTTGACTTATTTCAGCAAAGCCTTCTAAATTGACTAATTTCATGTCTCTAGGTCCTGTTCCAGGTTCCAGGGTCAGGCCAGGGAAACAATCCCTTCTTGCCCCCATACATATCTGCCCAAGATATCTCAGTCACCATGCTGCAGCCTGCCATAGTCTTGGAAAAAGGCTGGGGTCTGAACATCATCCCCCTTCTTCAAACCCTCCCTCCCAAAGCACCTGTCTTTGCCCTCTGTGACATCAGGGTGGCCATCTCTGAGAGAAATGGACTTTATGGGCTAAAAGAGCCCAAAACAATATGGGAAAAGACAGCATTAAGGGTCAGCTGACCCTTTCCCAGGGGCTCCAGAAATCCCACTTCTACCTTCGATTTTGGTGCCAATCTATTTTCTCACCCTAAGAGAGTTGCTCTACTGTTCTGCACCTCAGTTTGCCCTTCTACAAAGCAGGGTTGGATTCCTCGCCCCTGCGCTAACGAGGACACTTGAGCTCATCCCACAAAGCAAGGGCCAGGGATCACACCTCTGGGAAGTCTGCCCTGCCCTGCTTCTAAGGGGTTCACCCCTGGCTCTGGCCTTTCTGTGTGTCAAGTAAGCTTCCCAAGAGTGGAGGGAGGAGCTTTGCAGAGGGTCTACATGGGGAGGTACCCAGCTCCCTGAGGGCGTGACTGTGGCCTGGTCACCTCAGACCTAGCACAGAGCTAGAACCAGGGAAATGGACTGCAGAGGACAGAAATATGAAATGGTCTGAAGCCTTTGAACTTTAGCAACCCTTGTACCTTGGCACCAGCCCTCTCCTTTGAGGCCCTAACCTGGTGGTAGTGTGGTGGTGCTTGTGTGGGAGTGGCTAAAATGATGGGCTGGCCCCAAGGACAAACTTGCCCTCTGGCTAGTGGGAAGGGCCCAGGTTATTCCTAGGGAAGGGCAGAGCTGAGCGTGATGGGACTCAGCGTGTCCTGAGGACGGCCTCACTTGACGTGCTGAAAGAGGACACCATTTCCTGTGATGTACAGCCGGCTTCCATCCAGTGTGCTCTCGATGCGGAGCTGGCCCAGTGCGGAGTCTGGGTACTTGACCAGCAGACCCAGGGCCATTATGTACAGCGGCTTCATGGACTCCAAGCTGGCTGTGCAGGCCCCCTTCCCAGGGCTCAGGGGAGGACAGGTGGTCCGGGAACAGCCACCTGTACCAGGGAGAAAGGGGTGACTCCTAGGCCCCCCATGGTCATAGCTGGATTGGAGGCTGTGGGGCTCAGTTCCTACTGCTGCCTCCATTATACTGAGGAAGCTCAGAGGGATGATATTTCCTTGCACAGTCCAAATTGAGATCTTCTCAAAATCAGTACAATTTTTTTTTTGTATACTCAGGCTTAGAAGTCATAACTATTTGTTGGGAGGTGAGTTGGGAATGGGGGGATTCATTTGCTATATCACTAGCGTCTAAATTTCAAAAGTTTCAGGAAAGCAGCCATCTGGCCCCAGCCTCTGCAGGAGTCTCCATTAGTTCCAAGCTCTGCTATAACCATCCAAGGATAAAGATTGGCAACCATAGCCTGGAAACTCAATGAGTGCTACAGGCTTTCTGGATTCACAGCCCCTATTACTGACTCTCCGGGGCAGAATTTCCCCCAGAGACATATTGTGTGGTATTACTTTCAGGGTGGGTATTTGGATTGCTCGCTTATGGGTGGGACCTTTTTGTCCTGCTGTGGGCCCAGGGTACAGTCCAGAGAACACAGTTTTCTGGAGGAGCCTTCAGGACTCTCCTCCAGTGGCAATGATGTGCCAACGGGCACACTGCTGGGGGATGTTCGTAGATCATCTCCAATCCTCAGAGCAACCCCACAAGAGGGGGTAGTGCTATCATCATTTCACGTTGAAGAAACTGCTGAGTGGCTAATGAAGTATCTTGCCCTAAACTGCAAAGCTAGGCAGGGGAAGGGCTAGGATTTGAGGTCAGCTCTGTTCATCTCCAAGGTTACCGCAGCTGTTTCCCTTAGTTGTGATGCTTTGTAGAAGGCTAAAGCCACTCTGTGTTTGAGGAGTGCTGCCAGCTTCCAGAGCCTGGCTGTCAACACACTTTCTCAATCTTTGCATTGCTCTGTGGAGCAAGCACTGCGCTACCATTTCACAATGATCTATGTTCTCTGAGTCACAGAAGGCTTTGAAGGAAGGGACTGAACTCATATCGCCTTAAGTGGATTATAAGGCCCTGGGACAGGGTCCTGAGACCTGCTGCAGCATGCCACTCCCTACAAAGAGGATGGGTTTCTTTTTCTTTTCTTTTTTTTGTTTTTTGAGATGGACTCTTGCTCTGTTGCCCAGGCTGGAGTGCAGTGGCACGATCTAGGCTCACTGCAATCTCTGCCTCCCGGGTTCAAGCAATTCTCCTGCCTCCGCCTCCCAAGTAGCTGGGATTACAGGTGCACGCCACCACACCTGGCTAATTTTTGTATTTTAGTAGAGATGGGGTTTCACCATGTTGGCCAGGCTAGTCTTGAACTCCTGACCTCAAGTGATCCGCTTGCCTTGGCCTCCCAAAGTCCTGGGATTACAGGCGTGAGCCACCATGCCCAGTGAAGAGGACAGGTTTCTATTGTCTGGGAGAAGGCTGGGAAATCTACACCTGAAGATAAGGAAAGGCCTGATTGCCATGGGAGAAATGTCTGGTGATGCCCAGGCGAAGCTTCCCATGTGCAATGGAGTTCTACACATTCTCAGGATGCCGGCTGAAGCCACGCTCAGGTAGCTGGTGCCCTACAACATGCACAGTAGCTTCCATGGAGGTGGAGTTGGGAAATGGAATGATGAATGGCCCCAGTGAAAACCGTGAAGGGAAGAACAAGCTGAAATGAGGTAGGGCTGGGAGCACGAACGAAGACCTGGGCTAGATAGCGGTTAGCAAGTGTCAGGAATAAGCAGAAGCAAGCACAGTAGCCGGGGGTTTTGAGGTGAGGTGATGAGGAAATTTGGGGGAGGGTGAGATGACTGAAGCACTGTGCATTTCCCACACCTCCCACAGTGCCTGGAAGAGGAAGGATGGGAGTGGCTAGTGGGTGCTCCTAGTCCCCACCACTCTCACAAGCAGGGCAGACCTCCCCTACCCCTGGGAAGCCTGCTCTCAGGCCCAGGACATTCCAGCCTAGCTTCCCACCCAAGCTGGGCTCCTCCTGCTCCAGGATAGGCTGGGGTCCCTACACTTTTGGCTGGTTGCCAACTCCCCACCCTCAGTGGGAAGGCTGAGCCTGCAGAGCAGCACATAGGATTTCAGGCTGTGAATCCTCTTCTTGGATTCAAAGTCAGCCAGAAGAGACCCACTTCTATCACTAACCCCTAAAGCCCGAAGTGGTTGTGGAAGGGGAGATTTTGCTTGACTTTTCCAGGTCAAACCAAAACTGTCAAGGGGAGGCCAAGTTTTCCTGGCAACATACCCATGCTCATCCGGTACAACTTTACAGCTTCCGTGAGTGCAGGGATTTCCAGAATTTCCACTTCTGCTTCTAATACATCAATATTAGAGAAATTATCCGGCAGTAACATCTTCTGTGAGCGAAGAAAATTCACTTGAAAAACAAAGAGGAACACTGAGTTAATAAGGCTATTTCTGGTTTAACTGGAGGTCCTGGTTTTGACAGGTTTCTGGTGCTGTAAATTATCCTAGGCTCTCCTTGTTCTGAAACAACTTCTCAACATACCTGATTAGATTAGCTTTGAGTGTGTGGTTTTCAAGATGAAAGAACCCACATAACTTTGCTTTCCTGTGTCTGAGGCCATGGATATGGCCTCCTGTGGCTTGGCCTGGGTTCCCAAGCCAGGCCCTTCTGGTGAGCATGCTGGTCCTGAGACTTACCCTGTGAGTCTTGACCCAAGAGCAGGTCATTCCAAAAGAGGGAGTTGTCTTGCTGCTTAGAGAGGAGGGGCCCAGCTGAGCCTGGGCTGGCAGGTGGCACTTGCAGTTTGTCCCTGCCTGGACTGCAGTATGGGAGGCAGAGATGGAGCCAACGCTAATGTCCTGTGTGAATCAACTTGGAGATATAGAAGCACATCACAGACAACTTTCTAGGTGACTATGAATCTATGAATATGAATGACTGGGGTTCCAGACATTTGGGTCCCTAGTGTGACTTGAGTGTTTACTGCCTTATGTATCTAGACAGCAGTAGCATCTTGGAGTCAAAGAGGTCATTCAGTTCACATCCCAAACAGAGCTCATCCTGGGCCAGTAAGGGGAGAGAGGCTCTCTCTGCCCAAGGTGGAAAATCTCATCCCACCTTAGGCCACTAGCTCAAGTGGACAATTCTATGACTCTGGGAGAATCTGTCACAATCTACCCTCCTTCCCTCTTATTCTGAGTTTGGTGGTATTGATAGCAGGTAGCACCATCCTTTGAAACAATCTGGATTCCTCATTTTATGGTAAGAGGAACTGAGGCCTGGAGGCCAGTTGGATACATAAGGGCAGAGTGAGAAGAGAAGCTGACTTTGGTGACTGGCTCAGCACCCTGCCCTTCGCACCAACTCCTGTGGCCCCTGACACCTTCCTGTGCCCTTTTACAACCAGGCCATCCCAAAACAAATAGGGAATAAAATAGTCCTGAGTCTAGAGATTCTAATGCTGGAATCTGCTTGCCTCCTGGAAGGCTCTGTCATGCTTCCACCATCTCTTCCTAGGGCAGCTCCTGAGGCTCTGAGCACCAAGATAGGCCTCTGTGCGACATGGGATGGGGAGGGGTGGATGGGCCCTATCAACCCATCCCCCGCCCCAGCCCTGGACAGAGCAATCACCGATGAAGCGAAACTCGCTGCACTCGCACTCGATGAGGGCCACTGTCTCAGCCAGCCACAGCAGGTTGTCTTCAGTCACTAGGCTGGGATACTTGGCCACCAGGTCTAGTGGCAGGAAGCAGTAGTGCACTTCCTCTTCTGTGTCTAACAGGGGTGTGTCCATGAGCCCCAGAGGCGCCTTATCATGTAGGCCTGGAAGAGAATATGCAGGCAGTGTCGCCACCTCCCAGAAGCCAGGGATCTTATTCCAGCAGGGTTTTCCCTGACCCAGTGGCCCCAGAGGATGCTAGAGAGACCACCCAAGAGATGGTCCTTGCCACTTGCCAGACACATCTTCCTTCTTTCTCTTTTCAGATGTACCCTAAGGCTCAGAAGTAGTGTGGTAGGGAGTGGGGCATGGAAGTATATATTTTTTCTTTCCTTTTCTTTCTTTCTCATTTTTTAATTTTTTGAGATGGAGTCTCACTCTGTCACGCAGGTTGGAGTACAGTGGCACCATCTTGGCTCACTTCAACCTCTGTCTCTCAGGTTCAAGTGGTTTCTTCTGCCTCAGCCTCCCAAGTAGCTGGGACTACAGGCACATGGCACCATGCCCAGCTAATTTTTCTATTTTTAGTAGAGACAGAGTTTCACCATGTTGCCAGGCTGGTCTTGAACTCCTGGCCTCAGATGATCCATCTGCCTCAGCCTCCCAAAGTGCTGGGATTATAGGCATGAGCCACTGTGCCTGGCTGGAAATCTTTTTTTTTTTCTATAAAGAGTGAAGGGCAGTGGCACATGTGACATTTTGACTTATGTACCCAAAGTAATTAAATTTATTTACCCATTTGATTCTTTCTAATTGATCAAACCAAACACAATGATTTACAGACAAAATAGATGCTTTTGACACTCCTGGAAACTAAAACCCATCAGTAATCATAAATGCTTTGTACTCATGTGCTGTGAGGCACCCATCAGACAGTGATCATTTGGGGACATTGTGTGTGGTGGTTGGAGGAAACTTGAAAGAATGGTGGAGTTCCCTGACAAATAGGAGGAAGTGGAACGAAGCCTCGCCTTGCCCACATGAAACCAAAATGCAGAGGAGTGAGTGTGAGGGAGGATGTTGGTTCCAGCAGTCAAGCAGTCATGGAGAGGGCCTGTGGCAGGGCAGAAGATCAAAGGGGATGACAGAGACTGCCTCAGAAATCAGGCACTCTCTGCTCTCTGGATGGAACCCACTTCTGTTAGGGTGAGGAAAGGGAAAGTTGGTGTGGGCTTTAGGGAGGGCCAGCCTATCCCAATTATACCTGTGAAGGCTGGGCTTTTGATTGGAAATTCTGAGGGTTTGCTAATACACTTCCATGTTCGCCAATAGTTCAGAGATGCTCTCTCTGCAACAGGTATGTCTGCAGGCCGCACGCGTAGATGGTGTTTCCCTTCCTTCAGGTTATCTAGAGTCTGTTAGATAAAGAAGAGTACTATCTTGAGAATCTAAACCAAGTAACTACCAATTCTAGTATGAAGATCAGGAGAAACAGTATGTGACTGTGACTTACTTTGTTTTATTTGTTTTTGAGAGGGTCGTGCTTTGTCGCCCAGGCTGGAGTGCAGTGGCACGATCTCGGCTCACTGCAACCTCCATCTCCTGGGTTTGAGCAATTCTCCTGCCTCATCCTCCCGAGTAGCTGGGATTACAGGTGTCTGCCACCATGCCCAGCTAATTTATTTTTATTTTTATTTTTAGTAGAGACGGAGTTTCACCATGTTGGCCAAGCAGGTCTTGAACTCCTGTCCTGAGGTGATCTGCCTGCTTTGGCCTCTGAAAGTGTTGGGATTACAGGTGTGAACCACCACATCCAGTGACTTAAGTGTTTTGAAATAAATTAGGCAATCACACAAACATGTAAAAATGTAGGGTTATAGGATGACATGCTGATATTCAAAGTCCCAATGACTGTTTCTCTTCTGATTTTTGAAACAGGTTTTATTAGAATTTTATGTTGAATAATAGTAATTTATCTTACACAATCTAAAGAGGAATTTCTATTTAATCATTAAAAACTTGTTATTTTCTGCTATCATTTTCCTTCAAGTGCTCAAAACCACTTTTGACCTGTTATGATTGTGATTTGCTATTGTTTGTGTCCATCCTAACCCTGGATAGTGATCTAAGTGGTAAGATTGAGATAAACATGTCTTATATTTCCACAGGGCTCCACATTTTTTTTTAACACACTTTCACACACGTTTGCTCATTTACCATGACATGACTCTGAGACAGATGTGGTTGGTGAGTGTCTTACTGATGAGGCAGCTGAAGTTAAAGGCTTTGCAGCTTGTCCAAGCAGCCTTCCAAGTCCAGAGCTTCTCAGCTTGAAGGATCAGGTGACCAGGGGTGGGCTGAGGCTGGATTGGAGCACCCCAACTAGGCAAGCCTGAAGCCCAGGGTGGTCTTTGTGCAACCTTTACCCAGGGACCTTTTCTCCCTCAAAAGTCCTGCAGGGGGCAGATTCTTGTAACATCAGCCTCTCCACTCCCACCATCCCCCTTCTTTACTCTAGAAGAATATACATAGCATTTTCCCAATAAATTTCCCGATAGAGCAGGGCAAGTGGTATTTTAAAGGCGCCATATGATCAGATCCTCATAATGGACAGGCGCCCAGATTCAGTCTGAAACTAACAAAAGAATCTGCCTCCAAATGCTGGCTATGTCGATGAAGCCTTGTGAAGTTGCTCTCGAAAATCCTGAGCATTGAGAATAGCCCTCTGGTGGCCAAGCTATAAACTGTGCCCGCATAATCACTTAAGGTCGATGCAAAAGAAGGCGGCCCAGAGTAGGCGAATCTTCCCCACTTTGGATGGCTGGAGGGCTTGCAGAAGCACTGGGTAATGGCGGGATCGTGGGGAGTGCTTTTCTGCAGCAGTGAGCAATGAAGGAGACAGTGTGTGCATGAGAAGCTGGGAGACAGTCTGTCATTCATTTGGGAAATGCTCATTGTGCATCACCAGGGCCACGGTCAGACTGTGCCTGCACTCAAGAAGCTCTCAGCTTGGGAGAGAAGAAAGATATGAAAGACTTTATGTATACTGAGATTAGAATCAGTGTCAGTTATTAAGTTCCTGGGCCTCCAGAAACCCTGGGATTTCTTTCCATAACATTAGAAGGAAGCATTAGTCTTGCTCTGTTGCCCAGGCTGGAGTGCAGTGGTGCAATCTAGGCTCACTGCAGCCTCCACCTCCTGGGTTCAAGCAATTATCCTGCCTCAGCCTCCTGAGTACCTGGGATTATAGGTGCCCACCACCACGCCCGGCTAATTTTTGGATTTCTAGTAGAGACGAGGTTTCACCATGCTGGCCAGGCTGGTCCCGAACTTTTGGCCTCACATGATCCACCAGCCTGGGCCACCCAGAGTGCTGGGATTATAGGCATAGGACACTGCGCCTGGTCTGCCTCTCCATTTCTCTCCTTTCCTTTCACCTAGTCCTGTTCCCCTAGACCCCTCTCCACACAGTGATCTTGCAAATATATGCGGTGAGTCCAAATCACTCCCCTTCTTAAAAAACTTCAGTGCTCCCTATTTCTGTGGGATAGAACCAGACTCTCCTTTGCATTGCACATAAGGTCCTTCATAATCAATGGAGGCAGTAGGGTATACATGAAAAGCACAAGGACTTTGAACTCAGGCATATCTGTGGTAAATCCTGACTCTGTCGCTTAAGAGCTAACATTTGGCTGGGTGTGGTGGCTCATGCCTGTAATCCCAGCACTTTGGGAGGCTAAGGCAGGTAAATCATGAGGTCAAAATTTTGAGACCAACCTGGCCAATATGATGAAACCTCGTCTCTACTAAAACTACAAAAATTAGCTGGGTGTGGTGGTGCATGTCTGTATTCCCAGCTACTCTGAAGGCTGAGGCAGGAGAATTGCTTGAACCCGCGAGGCGAAGGTTGCAGTGAGCCGAGATCCCACCACTACACTCTGACAGAGCAAGACTCCATCTCAAAAAAAAAAAAAAAAAAAGAGCTAACATTTATTACCCATGGACTTTTATTTTTATGTTTTTATTTTTTTCTCCTCTTCAAGGTAAGTTATCAAGACGCTTTGCATACCCATGGACTTTTAAAGTGAATCTTTCTAATCTTCCCCAACAACAAATTAGGCTCTGGTATCACCACTCCCTTTTAGCAAATGGGAAACTAGGTCCAGGGAGAGATAGGGGACTAAGTGTACCAAGTAAGTGGAGATGTTAGGAATGAAACCCAGGACTCTGGAGCCCAAGCCCTTAGTGAGTGTTTTTATATATATGTAATAGTTGTACATATTTTGGGGATGCATGTGATATTTTGATACTTGGATACAATGTATAATAATTAATTTAGGGTAATTAAACTATCCACTATATCATTTTTAATTTTTTTTTTGAGACAGAATCTCACTCTGTCACCTAGGCTAGAGTGCAATGGTGTGATCACGGCTCACTGCAGCATCAACCTACTGGGCTCAACTGATCCTCCCACCTCAGCCTCACAAGTAGCTGGGACCACAGGTGCATATCACCACACCCTGCTAATTTTTTTTTTTTTTTTTTGAGACAAGGTCTCACTCTGTTGCCCAGGCTGGACTGTAGTGGCACCATCTTGGCTCACTGCAACCTCCACCTCCCAGGCTCAGGTGATCCTCCTACCTCAGCTCCTGAATAGCTGGGACCACAGGCATACACCACCACACCTGGCTAATTTTGTTGTATTTTTTGTAAAGATGGGGTTTTGCCACATTGCCCTGACTGGTCTCAAACTACTGGACTCAAGTGATCTGCCCGCCTCAGCCTCCCAAAGTACTGGGATTATAGGCATGAGCCACTGGGATTATAGGCATGGGATTATAGCCACTGGGATTATAGACATGAGATTATAGGCATGGGATTATAGCTATGGGATTATAGATTATATGGGATTATAGCCATGGGATTATAGTCACTGGGATTATAGCCATGAGATTATAGGCATGGGATTATAGCCACTGGGATTGTAGGCATGAGCCCGGCCCACAGCTGACTGATTTTTAAGTTTTTTTAAAGAGGCTTTGCCATGTTGCCTAAACTGGTTTTGAACTCCTGGGCTCAAGCAATCCTCCCACATTGGCTTTCTGGGATTACAGGCATGAACCACTGGGCCAGGCCCACCACCTCAAACATTTATCTTTTCTTTGTTATGGAAACATTCCAATTATTTTCTTCTAGCTAGTTTGAAATATACAATATATTATTGTGTTTTTTTTTTTTTTTTTTGAGACGGAGTCTTGCTTTGTCGCCAGGCTGGAATGCAGTGGCACAATCTCAGCTCACTGCAACCTCCACCTCCTGGGTTCAAGCGATTCTTCCACCTCAGCCTCCCGAGTAGCTGGGACCACAGGCACATGCCACCATGCTCGGCTATTTTTTTGTATTTTTAGTAGAGACAGAGTTTCACCATGTTGGCCAGGATGGTCTCGATCTCTTGACCTCATGATCCGCCCGCCTCGGCCTCCCAAAGTGCTGGGATTACAGGCGTGAGCCGTCACGCCCGCTATTATTGTTAACTATAGTCTTCCTAGCATACTACCAAGTACAAGAACTTATTCCTTTTATCTTTTTATCTGACTGTATTGTTGTACCCATTATCCAAAATCTCTTCATCTTCCCAGCCTCTCCTTCCTTCTACTTGTCATGTAACTTCTCCAAGCCTCAGGTTTGTCACAGGCAAAGTGGAGTCAGTAAAATCTGGAAAGTGTTGTAAGGATTAAATAAAATAATATGTTAATTCCCTTCTTCTTGGAGGTCATATCCTAAATTACCTTTCTCTTTCTCTCTCTCTCTCTCTCTTTCTTTCTCTCTCTCTCTTTCTCTCTTTCTTTTCTTTCTTTCTTTTGGGCCTTGCTGTTTCGCCCAGGCTGGAGTGCAGTGGTGCAATCATCATGGCTCATTGCAGCCTCAACCTCTTGGGCTTTAACAATCCTCCTGCCTCAATCTCCCGAATAGCTGCACCAGAGGTGTGTGCTGCGACACTTGACTTTTTGATTTTTTTGTTATGTGGCCCAGGCTGGTCTCAAACTCGTTAGCTCAAATGATCCTTCCACCTCAACTCCCAAAGTGTTGGGATTACAGGCATGAGCCACCGCGCCCAGCCTAAATTACCTTTCCAGCGTCATCTCCCATCATTCTTTCTGTTTACATTCCATCATCAGTGACACTAAACTCCACAAAACTCCAAAAACACATCACGTTCTTTGACACCTCCTCATCTTTGTGTAAACTATTCCATCTGCCCAGAATACTCCTCCCCATTCTCTTCCTGAAGAGCCTGGAGCCTCTCTGAGTCAGAACGGGTCATCCTTTCACTTTGTTCTCACAGATATTCAACACTTTCACTTCTCTCTGCAGGCCTCTGGCTCAGTTTCAGGCCAGTTCTTCCCCCTAT